TCTTCAATATACGCAAATCAATCAAGGTGATACACCATATTAACAAAATGAAGAATAAAAACCATATGATCATCTCAATAGATGCAGAAAAAGCTTTGGACAAAATTCAACAGCATTTATGATAAAAACTCTCCAGAAAGTGGGCATAGAGGGCACCTACCTCAACATAATAAACACAATATATGACAAACCCACAGCAAACATCATTCTCAATGGTGAAAAACTGAAAGCATTTCTTCTAAGATAAGAAACAAGACAAGGATGCCCACTCTCACCACTATTATTCAACATAGTTTTGGAAGTCCTAGCCATTTCAATCAGAGAAGAAAAAGAAGTGAAAGGAATACAAATTGCAAAAGAAGAAGTAAAACTGTCACTGTTTGCAGATTATATGATACTATATATAGAGAATCCTAAAGATGCCAGCAGAGAACTACTAGAGTTAATCAATGAATTTGGTAAAGTTGGAGGATACAAAATTAGTGCGCAGAAATCTCTTGCATTCCTATACACTAATGTTGAAAAATCTGAAAGAAAAATTAAGGAAACACTCCCAGTTACCATTGCAACAAAAGGAATAAAATACCTAGGAATAAACGTATCTAGGGAGACAAAAGACCTGTATGCAGATAACTATAAGACACGGATGAAAGAAATGAAATATGATACCGACAGATGGCGAGATATACCATGTTCTTGGATTTGAAGAATCAATGTTGTGAAAATGACTATACTACGAAAAGCAATCTACAGATTCAATGCAATCCCTCTCAAATTACCAATGGCATTTTTTACAGAACTAGAACAAAAAAATCTTAAAATTTGTATCGAGACACAAAAGACCCTGAATAGCCAAAGCAGTCTTGAAGGAAAAAAATGGAGCTGGAGGAATCAGACTCCCTGACTTCAGACTATACTACACAGCTATAGTAATCAAGACAATATGGTACTGGCACAGAAACTGAAATATAGATCAGTGGAAGAAGGTAGAATGCCCAGAGATAAACCCACACACCTATGGTCAAGTAATCTATGACAAAGGAGGCTAGGATATACAATGGAGAAAAGACAGTCTCTTCAATAAGTGGTGCTGGGACAACTGGACAGTTACATGTAAATGAATTAAATTAGAACAATCCTTAATACCATACAAAAAAATAAACTCAAAATATATTAAAGACCTGAATGTGAGACCAGACATTATAAAACTCCTAGAGGAAAACATAGGAAGAACACTGTTTGACATAAATCACAGCAAGATCTTTTTTGATTCACCTCCTTGGGTAATGGAAATAAAAACAGAAATAAACAAATGGGACCTAATGAAACTTAAAAGCTTTTGCACAGCAAAGGAAGCCGTAAACAAGACAAAAAGGCAACCCTCAGAATGGGAGAAAATATTTGCAAATGAATCAACGGACGAAGAATTAATCTCCAAAATATATAAACAGTTGATGCAGCTCAATATTAAAAAAAACAAAGAACCGAATCCAAAAATGGGCAGAAGACCTAAACAGACATTTCTCCAAAGAAGACATACAGATAGCTAAGAAGCACATGAAAAGCTGCTCAACATCACTGATTATTAGAGAAATGCAAATCAAAACTACAATGAGGTATCACCTCACACCAGTTAGAATGGGCATCAGCAGAGAATCTGCAAACATCAAATGCTGGAGAGAGTTTGGAGAAAATGGAACCCTCTTCCACTATTGGTGGGAATGTAAATTGATACAGCCACTATGGAGAAACAGTATGGAGGTTCCTTAAAAAACTATAAGCAGAATTACCATATGACCCAGCAATCCCACTACTGGGCATATACCCAGAGAAAACCGTAATTCAAACAGGCACATGCACCCCAGTGTTCATTGCAGCACTCTTTACAATAGCCAGGTCATGGAAGCAACCTAAAAGCCCATCAACAGACGAATGGATAAAGAAGATGTGGTACATATATACAATGGAATATATCTCAGCCATGAAAAGGAACGAAATTGGGTCATCTGTAGAGATGTGGATGGATCTAGAGACTGTCATACAGAGTGAAGTAAGTCAAAAAGAGAAAAACCAATGTCGTATATTAACACATATATTTGGAACCTAGAAAAATGCTACAGATGAACTGGTTTGTAGGGCAGAAATTGAGACACAGATGTAGAGAAGAAACGTATGGACACCAAGGGGGGAAAGCAGTGGGGGGTGGGGGCGGTGGTGTGATGGATTGCGAGATTGGGATTGACATGTATACACTGATGTGTATGAAATGGATGACTAATAAAAACCTTCTGTATAAAAAAGTAAAGAAAATTTTTTAAAAAAGAGAAAAATATCACTGTTAGTCTCTCCTCCTCATCTCATCAAGGACAACCTGGGTGGTAAAGTGGCAAGAACGCCCTCTCTCCACCACAACAAATGGGGTGCCTCATCAGCTCCAGGTGAGCTGGGGCTTGATGGACACCTCCATGTCTCAGCTTGGCTCGACACTGGTCAGAGAGGCTTGGATTACTCTCAGAATTGGCAAAACGTCAAAGCATCCTGAAATGGGCTCCTGTTTTTGCAGAATGAAAGTCAACCCAGGGTCCTGAGGCAGCTCTGTCTCCTGTACAGTTAGGTTATTCAGGAGTGGTCTCACTTGGTTAGAGAACTTTAACAACACAGCCCCTCACATACTGCTTTTCGAACACAGTAAGAGTCTAATGGGTGTATTTATCTGTGGTGGGGAGTTAGAGGGCAGATGATGGAGAAGGTAACAAAAGGCATACTTTTAGAAGTAATTACCAGTCCTGTGGGTCTAGGGGGAACAAGTATACATGTACTAGTGGTTGTCCCAGTTTTATCTTTCAAGAGGACTGTCGTGTCAGGGGGATATCAAGGGGCACAAGAACTTTTCACATCTCAAGGAAATTGTATTAAAGGTTTATGATCTCAAGAGCAGTTTCCCCTGTGTTGCCTGTACCCCCATCATTCTGTGACTCTCTCTCACTCCACTGAGCTTGTTTCTTGAATTCTCTTTTTCTCACGAGACTGAGAGCCCAGGACTGCAGGGATGGCACTGGCTTGTTCACCGCGGTGCCCTTGCCCCTGGCACAGAACCTATAACCTGAAAAGGGTGCTTGAGAAAACATTCCAGAATTTGAAACCCGGATGTCATTCTGGCTCCTTGCTATCTACCTTCCCAGGCAGTGGCTCTCCTATGGCAACACGTCTGCAGAACCCTTTCACATATTTAATCCGTGTATGAAATTTCCCCTTGTCATCTGTTTCAAGCAGCACTCAAATGGTTTTAAAGATAAATAAGATAAAAAGTTTTAAAAATACATGGTGCCTTTTAACAACAAAATAGGTTGTTTCACAGAGACCTGTGAAGTCAAGGAAGAAAAATCTGTATCATTACTGATACCTCTTCGCATATGTCTGAAATGTGTTCCTAAAGAGATTACTTATGTAAAGCACACTCCAAATAAGGCATTCTGTTTTCTCCAGAAAGCAATTCTGACTTCTTCTGAACGTGGCAGTGTCTCCAGGGAAGGGTGGGGATATCCGAAGCAGTGGCAGAGTGATGCTGAAGCAATGGCAGAGTAGGGAGGGGACAGAGAGGGGAAGAGCTGAGCAGGGACCTGGAGGCTCTCCTGCAGAGGAGGAGGAGAGGGTGGGGGAGGGAAACTGATCGCTCCCCTGCCTCTGCTATCATCACCCTTTCTTCCTCCCTCTGCCACCACCTGGAAGAACGGGCTGCTTGAAACCCAGAAACACTGCAGAAAATGATAGCCATTTCTCTGGGTGGACCCTCAAAAGCCTTTTGTCACTGATAAGGTAGCAAATCCTTGTGGATGATCCCATGTTTTTTTACACACAGACAAATAGAACCGCATATATGTGTTTATGTGCCCATCAAAAAAGACCTTGAAGAATACACATCAAAATATTAACAGTGATTCCCCCTGGGGAATGGGAAGGAGAGTGGAAGGGATCAGGAAATAATACTTTCTGCTTTATACATCTCTCTATTATTTGGATTTTTTTCCAGCCAGCGTGTATTTTTTTTTATATTAGAAAAACACAGAAACCTGTTTGGCATAATGAAAATACGACACATTGACTTGCTCTGTTGTTCTCTGGGTGGATTCTAATAAAGATTTTGACATAAGATTCTTAGGACCTAGAAGCTGATATTCAGAAGGAATTGTTTTCTAATCTCTATTATTTGCTTGATAAATTCTTACCAACAACAGTCTGGATTTCCTTCATTATTGCCTCTTCAACTAGGGGGTGCTTTGCAATGAGAAACAGCATGAAAAACACAGAGACAGACATGGTGTCCGGTGCTGCGATCAGCATTTCCAATACGCACTGGTTCACATTCTCTCTTGTCAGGTCACCACGCTTCTGAACAATTGAAAGCGGGGAGAAACATTGGCAACGTGAATGAACGGTTCAGAACAGGAGGGGAGGTGGCACTCAAGGATTAATAACCTCAACAAAATGAAATCATAGAAATTATGTGTCTCTGGGTCTGATGGTGGACATTTGCACTAACAATCTTCATCTCAAAGCTGAAGAACTGAACGAAATATCTATGTGTTTAGTGTCTTTGGATTCCCCAGTTTTCCTATTTTTATTGTACAGAAACACAGAAGTTTCAGTCTTAAAGTTCAATCTTACCTGACTGTCTAATAGGGGGCTATTGGATTGGGCATTATAGAAATACTGGAGCATATAGTCAAAGCAGAAACATGCAACAATTAACAGGAGAGAATTTTTAGACACTGATACAGTCATACACGTATGTTGTGTGGGAATTAGGGTCAGTTCAGGTCTGTACCTCAGCCAAAATCAACTCAGTGGTGAAATCCATTGAGTCTTCCAGTTTCTCTGCTACGGAAATCCTGTTTCTTTTTTTTTCTACCAGAATTTCCATTTCTTCTTTCAGCTCCTCACTGGAAAAAACAGTGTAAATATTATCTACTTGTACACAGATATGACATCTAGATAAATGGATTTGTTTGCCATGTTTAAAAATAAAGTGATCTGCTTTAGTGGAAGCCATTAGTGCTCATGAATAACTGAATTTATACTTAATTCTTCACAAATATTCTTAAATTACATACACATTATATCATGTTAAGGAACCAGAGTTAGCCCATGTATCTCGGCAGTGGTAGCAAAATCAAGGCTGAAACTGTAGTTAAGGGTTGAAAACTGGTACCAAATGGCTAAATCCAATTATGTTTTCTGCTATTTGATTGGGCCAGCACAGTGCTTAAGTTAAACATCAAAAACCAAAGCCAGTGAATGCCTTTAGTGGGAGCATGCACTCTCCAGTCTCCCACGGGCACCTCCATTTCCTGTGTTACATCCACCCAGCCCACTTTTATCTGCATAGTCTCGAAGACAATTGAGTTTGAGGTTCCTCTTCTACACAGGCAGGAAGTATTTTTCCTGATATTTATCTCATACCTTGCAGTTTCTGCCTCATAGTAACACTAAGTAAATATTTGTTGAACGAATGACTGTCTGCATCAATATACATATGCCTTTTGACAGTGTGCAGGAGGGAAAAACACCTTCGACAAAGGGTCAGGTTCTGGTCCAGGTTGTTGTCGTTCCACGTAACCTAGTTTAAGTCTGAGTCTTATGTCTCTTTTAAAGTGAAGGGATCAGGCTAGATGAACAATAAGGCCACCTTGAGATCTCAATTCTGTTATCTTTGACTTTGTCTTTAAGTGTATGCATTCACGTATAATTGTATTGTTCCCCAATCTCAGGGAACAGTATTCTGTATTATGTTAAATGTACAGTAAATCTTTCTTTCAAATTCTTGTTGACACAGTTGCCTACACGCTTAAATACTCTGTTGACCTAAATAGCCTCTGTGTTTACTTCAGTTCAACAGGAAAAGTAACAGAGGATTCTTTAAGATACCTCCTATCTTCAAAAGTTTTTTGGGGGGGCATCTCAAGGAAGATGTTTAAACATTCTGAGAGATATTCTTCAGGGTAGTATTTTCATTGTGTCATTCTAAATAAGGATGCCTACTATTGTTTATCTCTGTAAGTATGCTTTATAGGCGCGCGCACAAACACACACACACACTCACCATTCCAGACATACAGCAGGGATATATTCACGTTTATTCATTTACCTACCCATCCATTTGTTCAGCAAATATTTGTTGAGTATCTCCTACATTTATTCAATAGTAGGCTAGAATGCTCATAGCATTCCTACCTAAGCAGTGGCTCCCAAATGGCCTGGGATGTATTGAAATGCCCCTAGACTTTGAATTCCTAGAGAATTTCTTGATGGAGCTGCATCCACTTCTAAGCATCTCCTTCCTCCCTGGGCCAGAATCAGGGGCCTGTGAATATCCACTGGGATTCCTCCTATTCAGGTTAAAATTTGCTTCGGCTTAAATGTATGTATTTGAATTTGTATGTCATTAAAAACTAGGAGAATTGAGTTAAATGTCAGTTTACAGGAAATAAGTCTCTGACTTACAAATTATATTGCAAGAATTCCTCTGTTTGTACGAAAATAATGGTGGCTAGGTTCCTAGTCCAGGCCACAAACACTTATGTATTCTGAGACTGAAAAGCCTACATTTGACAAAACAAAAAGTAGAAAACAGTACTGTGCTAATATTGGGAATTCAAAGAGGGAAAAATATAAAATTGAATAAATAGGGATGGAAGTAGATGTCCCAGAAACCTTTACATAAATATATTTTTTAAAATATTGGTATGAAAGACAAATTCTATATGATCTCTCTTATATGTGGGATCTTAAAAAAACAATAACAAAAGGAGAAATCCCAACCTCAGTTTTACAGGAAGAGATTGGTGATTGCCATGAGTGCTGGGGGTAGGTTGGGTGTGAAATGGGTGAAGGGGGTCAAAGGTACAAACTTCCTTCAGTTATATGATCAATAAATCATGGGGATGTAATGTACAGCATGATGACTACAGTTAATATACAGTATTGCATATTTAAAAGTTGCTAAGAGAGTAGATCTTAAAAGTTCTCATCACAAGGAAAAAGTTTTGTAACTATGTATGGTAAAAGATGTTAACTAGATTAATTGTGATGAACATTTCTCAATATATTCAAATATTGAATCAGGCTGTACACCTGAAACTAACAATGTTATATGTCAGTTATGCCTCAAAAAAAGTATCAGCATTATTGCAAAGGAATGCAGGGGAAGGAGATTAAAAGATTTCTTTAGGTTTTTACTGCTCTAGATCAGAGGAGATAGTACATAGTGAACTAACCATTGGCAAATTTATATAGAGAGGGAATGTTGTTGAGATAATTTTAAAGAAACCAAAGAGAAACTGTTGTACAGTCTCATGCAGTAAGTTTCTATGGGCCTGCTGACCATACTGAAGCTAAACTAATGACCAAGTTTAACTGCGGACCAATGAGACTCTTGAGACGACCACAAATTCTGACAGCAGTGAAGAGATGAACCATTTATCTTATCGATTCAAGTCACAATAAGCTCCGGTAGAAACAAAGAGAAATGTGTAAAGGACCAGGTGTCCAAGTCATCCACCTAATACTCATCATCTGCTTGAAGCAACATCAAGCTACTACCTGGAACTAGTACTACTGAACTTCAACACGCAGACAGGAGGAAGGTAGCTCTTCAGACAACTTTGGGAAATTGTAGAGATGGAGAATTTAAGGTAGTCAGGGACATCTGGGAAAGATATGAACAGAGGGGTGGGGAAAACTAACATGTTTACTGCCTACTATGTGTCATGCTTTGTGCTGATTGCCCTTCACAGAGGATCTCATTAACCTGTATTGCCACCACGGAGGGGATGTTATATTTTACTTTGAAGAACTTCCCAAGGACATTTGGTTACTAAGTGGTAGAGATAGGATACAAACCAGGTCTGTCTACCTTTAGATCCCCTGTGCTTTCCACTGGCGGTTAGAGGTGGCAAGTACAATGGCTGGAAACTTACACTCTAAAAACCCACTGATTATCCAATAGGCCATTGGGCATTTGTCTAGTCTTCTGCTAGACTAGTGTGACACCAAAGCAAAGCCATTTAATGACAGTTTTAGGATCCCCCAAGATATAAGATGCATAACTGAACAAACAACACATCTTATAAAAGTTAATCATGAAAAAATTCTCTTGCAACTACTGTCAATTCTGACAAATTGAATTAAGTTAAATTCATTCAGAAGAAACACAACAATAAAATGATTTATTTTTCCAGACATGCGAAGAGAATTTTGACTAATGATAAGGATAGGTTCAGCCAACCCTTCTCTTCAACTCAAAATACACAGCAGTGTCCTAGTTACAGAGATGGAGCTCTCAGCCTCAAAACTGCCCTGGGCCAAAGTCTTCTTTCCTCTGTGGTCTGGCCACATGCTGCCGAATTGCTGTAAGATGTGTTTCACCGGCAACTTAACAGCTCCCTTGCGGTCTGGAGAGGAGAAAGCTTGCTGAAGAGGCCAGCAATAACTAAGACACAACACAGATCAATCCAATCTCAGCAATAAATATTCCAAAATATGTTACTTACACAGACTTTTCATACTTTCTGCATAGCCAAGAAATCTTAAAGAAGATGTCTGGTTTGAGAAGGAGAGCTTGCCATGCATCAAAATAACCCTGGATTTTAACCACGATGGCCCTTTCTGGAAAAATGGAAAAAGATCAGAACAGATGAGCAAAAATGTGAGCCCAAGAATGGTACACGCTCAGAGAAGATCCCCTGTAGACTCTCCTACCATCTGGGACTCTAAGCAGGTCAAGGTTCCACCTTCACTGGGTGTTTCAGCCAGGGGAATGCCACTAAACAAATCAACACTAATTTATTCTGCTTGGCATTTAAATTGGCCACGTTAACCAGAGATTTGCCAGTTTTCAAGTTTGTGCTAGAGACACAGCCTAGAATCTCACACGCTTCTCCATGGCTGAGCCTCCAACTCCCTTCTGTTTACCTGACTGTTTGAAATGAGAAGTAATTAATGCTGTTATGGCCTCAATTCTGGTGCCTGGAAAGGCAAAAAGCCTCCCCACTCTGTTTCAGTCCAGAGTGTAGAATTCATCTTGGAATCTTCAGTGCCTTGTTCTGAGTCTTGTGCACAGTCAGATCTTAACGGATGTTCTTGAATTAAATTGAATACTAGAAAAAAGAAAACCCCTGTTTTTTTCAAATTATACACAAGAGAAGGGAAGAGACATGAAGATGCAGAAACTGCAGTTCATAGAAATGAAGAAGCTTGCCCAACATCATACAGCCAGAGTGGCAGGAAGTCCCTAGGCTGGAGCTCGATTCTGTCTGACCTCAGGGCCATGTCCTTTCCTCTTCGGTGCACTGAGTCCCTCAGGCCAAATGAGAGTTTAACAAGGACCCGGTGAGCAGAGGGAAATACACATAAGTCTGTATGGGTTATGAAGGTTCTTAGACCGCAGTCTGCATCCATAAGTTAACAGAGAGCTGTACAATTCCCTTTACTTGATCCCTCCTAAGAATCAAGGCTAGTGGGGAACCAAAGAGCAGGGACTTCTAAAATAGGTACCTGTCATATCTTAGGAGAGATGTACGTGGAACAGGCAAACAGGACTTTCAGAGTCCCTGTGTGAAAGGGGATAAGGCAAGAGGCTGTGACTTTCAGAGTGAATGGGGCTCCCATCCTAATGTCAATCAGATGGGGTTCCTATGACTCTGGTAAGGAATCATTAAAGAGCCGGGGAGATGAGGCGAGGAGAGTGGAGCAGAGAAAGGGAGGGCTTATCGCTTGTCTGCTTGTCCAAATGTGGTCAATCAGGGAGCAGGTGTGATAGCTCAGCTGGTTTGGACAAGTGTGAAACTCGTGCCTTGTTCTTGTGCCTGTGATGTTCTTCCTTCAGATCTGCACATGGCTCATCGTCACACTTCATTTGGGCTATTTTCAGACATCCTCTCCACAGAGGCCTTCCTGACCACCCTTTCTCTCCACAAGAGCTTCAGCCTCCCACTGACCTCCCCCTTCACTTTCTAGCCCTTTGCTCTGCTTTTTTTTTTGCGGTACGCGGGCCTCTCACTGCTGTGGCCTCTGCCATTGCGGAGCACAGGCTCCGGACGCGCAGGCTCAGCGGCCATGGCTCACGGGCCCAGCCATTCCGTGGCATGTGGGATCCTCCCGGACCGGGGCACAAACACGTGTCCCCTGCATCAGCAGGCAGACTCTCAACTACTGTGCCACCCGGGAAGCCCTGTTTTTTTAAGGCACTTATTATAGCCTAATATATTACTAGATAGTTAGTTGTTTACTGTCCATATACCCACTAGGATGTAAACTCTTTGAAGGCAAGGACTTCGTCTTGTCCAACTGGTCTATCCCCAGAACCTAAGTCTGGCATAAAATAGGCAATCAATAAATATTAGTTGAATGAATGTATGAATCAATGAGCATTGCTAGAAATCAAGTCAGGAGAAATTACATTAAGCTGACAGCAGCAGAATGGAATGAATCCACATGATTAATGTTTGTTCTTTTGTTGGCGGTAGAGTTGCATGTATGTGTTTAATATTTGTTTCTGTAATATAGTGAGGAAAGCAGTTTCTTGAGTGAGACATCTTGCAAGGATTGTTATAAATGCTAAGTGACAAAGTTTATGTGAAGCAACTTTTTATACTGCTTGGCACATAGTAGATACTAAATTTATGTTAGTTATCATCATCATTTCCAGCAGCCTCAGTACCCTTATCATCATATAGAATCAAAATTTTCATACTTAGTGGCTTTGAGGGAGAGGTGTGTATGTACATTTATGTGTGTGTGTAGATATATGGAATGTGTCTATATGTTTGTGTGTGTATATATATAACTATACATACATATATACACATATATATGTCTATATCATGCCCAAAAGAATGGTTGGTAATGGTTAAATACATAGGTTTGGTGGTAGGATATATTTATGACCAAATCAAATGATCACATCTGTTAAGTTTCAGCTGTGGGTAGAATCCTATTTTCTAGAGCAATGAAGAGAGATACAAAAGAAATAGAAGATGGCCCCTGCTGTGGATATTTATGACCTTATAAGTGAACAAGGCAGACATACCAGGAAAAATATTTGGGAATACTTAGAAGGGTTTAAAGAAGAGCAGTATGCAAAAGAACATATCTTTGCTTGAGTCCGTTATCCTTCTTCTCATGCCCTGTTTAATACAGGGCTGAATGTCAAGTCATAAGAATGAAAATTTCAGGGCTTCCCTGGTGGCGCAATGGTTGGGAGTCCGCCTGCCGGTGCAGGGGATGCGGGTTTGAGCCCTGGTCCGGGAGGATCCCACATGCCGCAGAGCGGCTGGGCCGGTGCGCCGCAGCTGCTGAGCCTGCGCTCTGGACTCCACGGGCCACAACTGCTGAAGGCCGCCTGCCATGGCTGCTGAGGCTTCTGTGCCTGGGGTCCGTGCTCTGCAGCAGGAGAGGCCACAGCAACGGGAAGCCCGTACACCACAATGAAGAGTGGCCCCTGCTTGCCACGGCTAGAGGAAGCCCGCGCACAGCAACGAAGGCCCAACACAGCCAAAAAAAAAAAAAAAAAAATAAGTAAATAAATATACTTTTTAAAGAAGTGAAAATTTCAGTACCGTTAAAGGGGATCCCCAGGAAGAGCTTGTTAGAGGTGTCCAGCATGATGCACCGCACGAGGGTCAACACATCCACATAGCCCGACTCGTTGCAGACCTCCTCCAGCCTGTCCAGATGCTTGGTGATGGAATCAGCACAGACGGTCACCGTGCGCACCAGGCCGGGGCCAGACAAAGCTGAAGGGTACATGTCAGAGTGAGCCGCCTCCAAGTCCAGGGCACACAAACTATCAGGCAATTTTGGCTTTTTATGTTTGGAGCTTAACTGACGACAAATTTTTATTCAATAAATGGGTGGAAATTTTCATATTCTTTTCATTTTTCTATATTCTACTATTGTCTACTAGAAAGTATCACTTTTATGATTAAAAATGAATGAATGAATGACAAATCTTTTTAAAACAAATGATTCACAATTAAACTTTTATTCTACCTATGACAAATCATTTGTGAGATTGCAAATGAAACATTTCGTATTTGTGATCATAAATTACAAATCAGTAATTTTCTATATTATGTACATTTCTCTCTAAAGGTTTGGATTTCACTTGGGTGATATTTTATGTTTCAATGAGTGGCAGAATATTGCTACAGAAGTATTCAAATTGGATCTTACTTTTTAGATCTAAGGTGCTTCCTGTTTAATTGTAGTTCATATGTGTAAAGTCCTAGTCTTATAAATTACCAAATGTACCCTTAATTTTGGTTTCTCTTCAAACTACATCCAGATTAATTGTACTCAATCAATGTCATAACAACAAAACAAAACTTTGTTGGTTGAACAGTCTTCTTCACAGGACTGGGAACACTGGGGACAGTGATAACCTATTAGCATTGTACTTCAAGTCCATAGTACAGGGTGGCCCTCGATATATATTTGTCAAAAGGAAGAATGAATGAATGAATAGATGAATGAATGAATGAAACCAGGTAGAGTGAACTGGCTCTGATCTCTCTCTTTCTTGGCTCCTGACCATCTGAGCATCTACTGGTCCTAATGGTAGGTGGTCTAACATGAGTTTAACTCTTAAAGTCCTCCTTTCTCTGTTTGTTCAAGGTTGCTCTAAGCTTTCTTTAGGAGTAATCTCTCTTTTTTACGTCTTTTTTATTCAGACTTGCTGTTAAAGCCAGAGCCCTCAAACAAAGCAAATCAGCTGTGCTGCAGAAGCCCCTGAAGGCACACTTTGCAAATAAGAAAGGAAACCTGGTGAGTGGTCCTAGAGTCTAAGCATTTCCACCCATGTATAAAAAGGAAGTTTGGGTTGGCAGCATACGTTCTGACTTTAGGAGGGACCTGGAGGTATGAAAGGCCAGGATGCTGTTTCCTGGGTGACTGTCACAATCACAAGTGAGATAAATGATTCCTCAATGAATCAGTCCTTTGCATGGAAGGGTTGGCTTTGTTTATCATTCCCAGACTGATGTATGATTTGCCTCTACGTTCAAGAGCTTGAAACCACATTTCAAATGTATAAACCACATTTCGAATGTATAAAAGGAGTGGGGAGCCTTTAGAACCTGGAAAAGGCAAGGAAACACTTTCTCCCTAGAGGCTCCAGAAAGGAACACAGCCTTGCCAGTGCCTTGATTTTAGCCCCGTGAGACCCATGTCAGACTTTTGACCCATAAAACTGTAAGATAATGAATGGAAGCCAAAGGCTTCCATTCCAGCAGCATATATAGTAAAGGAGGAAACCACTAGATAAGGAGGTTTGTAATCCAGTCTCTGCTCCTCCATACCTGGCTATGTTGCCTGGAGGAAAAATCACAAGCTCTCTAGAAATGTACTCCTTAAGTATAAAACTCAGAGTCTGGATGAAATGACATATACAACTCTTCTCAGTTCTAAAATTCTGTAATTTATTTGCAAATTGCTATTTTAAGATATCTGGGATGTCAGCCAATGATTCAGCAAACATGTCGGTTATGCTAAATCAACTATATAGCTGACATACTAAATTCTTAACTGAAGTGATCTTAAGTATATAGGGTGCCAATTCTCCTTCACATTCATGAAATTGTGGGTCAACAAGAAGGACAGAGTTTGTGTTGGTGAATATGTAGGCTCTGGAATTGTATCCTGTGCTACCATTTGCTGTTGGTGGAAACTTGGGCAAGCTATTTAAACTCTTTATGCCTCAGTTTTCTCAGTTGTAAAATGGAGGTGATAAGGGTATTTAACACATGGGGTTGCTGTGGGATTAAAGTTATCAAGGGCTTAAACAGTGCCTACTACATAGTACATGTATAATGAATGTTAGCTCTTAACTGTTTCAAAACTGTGAAGCAGCAGAAGTTAAAAATGCTTTCAAGAAGGCATATTCATAGACAAAAGAGCAGAATGTAGCCAGACATCTGAATACCTTTCATAAAGTAAGTTCTAACAGCTTTCCAGAGGACTGGATTATTATTAAATATGACGCCTTTCTCATGCATGCCAATGCTCTGCAACCCAAGTTTGCTGCCGAATCGGGATGTGTAGTGACTGTGCTTCATTACGTGGAACACGCTTGAGGACCTGCAGAGAAAGCAAACCTTGGGGTTACTTGTTGAGGGTCAGGAGAACTCAGTGTGATGAGTTTGCCTACCAGGTGGCTCTCATACCAAATGCCTGTTGATCTAAATGCAATGCATAATTTCTAGTATTCAGATTAAATAAGCACTTGTGTTAGCACAAGAACTTCCTTCTCCAGTTGAAACATTTCTGCTGCTAGCTCTCTGTTTGAGCATCACTAAAGATCAACACACACACGCGCGCGCACACACACACACACACACACACACACACACACACACACAGAGTTATTCGTTATTTCCCCTTATCTAACTCCAAGTCACTAAAATACTCCCCATTACTGTTGTCAGAGCTACAAGGCTGTAAGAAACTGAATCCTCCACACCACCATATTCCTGAGAGCCTCCAGCCTCCAAGCAGTCCCTCTCTAGACAGTGCTCCCCATGCAGAAGTGAGCTTCATAATCGGAAGTTGCTGGAATACCTGAAGTCTTATCTCTTGGAAGCAGCAGTTCTGCCTTGTACCACCCGTCCCCCAGAGGGCCTAATCAGGCCTGGCCCCTCCAGGGGAGCATCATTCTAGGACTGAATGACATCTCCTGGGCACCTCTGGCCCTGGGCTTGGCTGGCTGGGCTGGGCCTGGAAGGCTCTCTGTGGTGGTGACAGCAGCTGTCTTGGGGCTCTGCGTCCATCATGATTCATCAAGGTCTCCAGGGTCACAGAGTTCTCCCAGGACATAGGACACGCTGAGCCATTAGATAGCCCTTACTGTGGCAACCCTGGGACCTTGCCAGGAACCCAGGCTTCCTTGAACTTCCTGGTTCCTCTTCCACTGCTCTGCCCTCTATTCCCACCCCCAGGCCTGGCTCTTAAGGCCTGAGCTGGGTCTTCAGAGCAACTAGGAAGGAGCAGGCAGCCCCTCCCCACCCATGTCCTCCTTCAGGTCTTGCTTCCTGCCCCAAATCCTACTCTAATTGGGGCACGATAAGGCAATGAGCATTATCACATGTTGTAAAATCCTAGCTGAAGATGTCATGGGGCCTCCATGTGTGAGGAGAATATTGTCTTCTTAGGACAGTGGTACAGAATTCTTCTGCAGAGGAGCTCACTTTGTTGAGAAGATGTTCTATTAAGATTGATTATAAATTAGGCTATGGCATTGGAAGTATAAATTGATCATTTAAATAATTTAACATTTGAGAGCATAAAGGATAAATGGATAGTTAGTCTCTTCAGGATAAAAGGTGGGGTGGCTCTATGTCTTCTATTGTATTTTCAATACGCAAATCCAGATACTTCAGTTTGTATTCCAGGGAATTAATTTGACTGATACATAGATAAAATTTTGTCCTGTATATGACATCATGCTATAGAAGGGACTGAAATTCTTATTAACTAATAGACTTCAGAATTCTAGCTATTCGTACCGTCCCCTAAATCACTTTATAATCAAAGCAGCAAGTAATTTGTATACTCTTTACTCACAAACTCAGATCTACAAATTTTAAGTGATTAGTTGACAAACAGAATACTATTTTTCTGCTCTGACCTTTAGAGCTTTTGGGTATATCATAAAACACATTGGTCTGTCCATATGTTTTGAGGAATTACTGGTCAATTAAAAACTTCAACCCAAATGTTAGTTAATAAAGAGCGAACGATTAAGTCAGTTGTCCTTTAGGGGGCGCCAACATCTCAGTTATCCTGAGACAGAGGCTCTGACTTGGCAAAAAACAAAGCAGGGAAGACAGAAGTGATACACACAGCAAGCAAAATGTCACCAAGGATGAGCAGTTTAAAATAAGGTCACTTATCAAAAGTAGGCTGGCTTTATCTAACTGGAGTAAATCAGGAAATTGAAGAAGGGAAGGTTGGTGATGAACTAGGGATGCCAGCCCAGAGCTCCCCTGATATTCAGGAGAACACTAGAGATCTCCTTCCCACAATGTGGGTTGGCCTGTAACACCAGGTGAGGGAGATGTTACATTGACTGACTGACTGACTGACTGACTGACTGACTGGCTGGGAGAGTGAGGACTTCTTACCACTGAGGAGAGACAGTGTGAGTCCCCAGCCTCAGAAGGGACAGTGGGTAGTGTAAGATGCCTGATCCCTGGGGTAATTATTCTTCTTGAAACATGACTGAAGTCAAAAGACATCCCCAAAGATGGCAAACCTAACGTCTCTTCAAAATGAAAAGTAGCCAGGAAGTAAGTCCTTAGGTGGTAAAGAAAAAGCCACCCTCCCGTTCTGAGTTTAAAGAACTCACACACCTGTGGTCCGGTTCAAGATTGATGAGTACTAGAAATAGGGGGGAGACAATCAATGGAATATTTGGTACCAAACATTTAAAAACACGTGCCTTGTGTAGACCTGTTCTGTGCCTGTGACTTGTACTCCATCAATCCTACCACATTTTCCCTGTCCTTTGCCCTCTAATATCCTTACCCAGGTTTGATACTGAGGTCACTGCAAGAGAAAAAGAATCTTTGTAACAGAGAGATCTGACTGTAACCACCCTAAGCTGACCAAATTTAGTATCTCTAATATGGGAACACCTTCCCTGGTCTCTTGATGTGATGCAATGTGAAGTGCCTAGGACTAACAGGAACGTATTATTACACAACAATTAACCTGAATCGAATAGAGCCTGTAGACCTAGTGTTCAGTTTGTAAGCAATACCGTGAATAGAAGAATATGTTCAATGACACCATAATGAGACAGTAAGAGAGATTTGGAATGTGGGACATCCTGTAAGGCAACTGATGTGGTCTTTTCAGAAGGTCATGGGGAAAAAGGGGGGAGGACTGCTCTTCTAACTTTCCTGTTCATTTGAACTTTTCTTACTAGAAAGTTGGAAAACTATTTTCTTGTCGATCATTAGAGTCTCTCCCTTCCGTGCATCCTCAAGTCCCTTGACCCTCTGCTTACTTTGTCCTAATTGCCTGGTAAAACCTCAACCCTGGCTAAATCCAGCTCTCAGTTTAGCTTACTCTGTGCTTGCACCTGGCAGTTGAATGGGGCCAGGGAAAAAACCATACATGCACATGGACACACACACACACACACACACACACACACACACACACACACTGGCAGGTCTCAGTTAAATTCAAGTGAGCCCTTAGTGCAGCTGGCAATTCTACTACATTTCCCAAGTCCAGTCACTCTCTCGCTTTCCTGGATGACTGTTATATCCTGTCTCCTCTGTCCCCCAGTGTTGTACTTCTCACCTTTATTTCAACTACAGACTTCATTTCCTATTTTGTTGAGAAAACGGAAGCAACTGGAACCTCTGCAGGTCCAACCACCAGGATCAGTGCCCATATATTCAGCCTTCCCTCCTGTTACTGTGGATGAACTTGCGTGTCCCTTTTCAAGGCCACGTCCACTTGTTACATGGACCCCCTTGTCATCTCACCTGGCACACTCCTTTTGTGTGCAGCATCAACACTTTCATCTGTAACTCATCATTTCCATCAAAACACACATGTCATAATATCTTGTATCTTAACAAATAAAAGCTCCTTGGACCAAACATCCCTTTCAGCTCTGTTCCATTTCTCTGCCTCCTTTATGGCAAACTCCTGGAAAGAGTGTCTGTACCTGCTGCCTCCAATTCTTCTCTCCCCGTTCTCTACAGTGGTCAGACTTTTGCTCCCAGCACTCCATAGAAACTGCCCTTGTCAAGGTCACTCATGACCTCCCTGGTGCTAAATGCAATGCTCACATCTCTGTCCAGTCATGTGGCACTATCTGGAGAGTTGACAATTCCATCCTCCCTGACATGCATTCTCGCCTGGCTTTCAGACCTCCACACTCTCCTGGTTTTCCCTTCTCTATGTGGTTGTCTTTCTCAGCTTCCTTTGCTAGTTTCTGACTACAGTCGAAGGTCTAAATGGTTAGAACTTCCTTCTTAATATCCTATTCAGCAGTACTAGGCAAGTCAAGTCAAAATATCTGAAATGGAATCCTGATTTCTCCCCATCCCGAAGTTGCTCCACCCACCTCATCTTCTATATAGCCCATATCTACCTGATAATGGTGTGGACAACCATCCTGGGTTTCCCAGCTTAAAAATCCCACAACGTGGGAAATCCTCTGGTTCCAAGTAAACCAAGACAGTTGTTCACCCTACTGATAATACTATGTTTTAGCCTTTTATTGTTGGTATATTAATACTGCAACAATATATTCCTCTACAAGGGTAGGGATTTGGGAGTGATTTGTTCATGATACCTGTTGTACATAATAAGTTCTCAATAAATATTTATTTAATGAATGAATGGAGAGCCAATAATTTCTATGATAGTTTAGGGTCATCCAGTGCTTAGTATAGAGTAAATTCTAATAAATAAATGTACGTTTACAGAACAAAAGAATGAATTTCCTATAAATTCGGAAATGACTAAAACAGGTATACAAATTCTATAACCTTAATTGTTTGTTAATTGCTAACATATGGCCAAATATCATCCTAACTATCATGTTAAATGTCAGTTCCTCTTTATGGATGCTATTCACATTCTGTTTTTGATATTCATGGCAAACACTAACATATACACATGACATATAGTGTCATGCATAACTTCTGTAGAACCTCAATAATTTAGCGCATCTCTGCCTGGGGAATCATGCATACTTTATCTACAGGTAATCAGATGGATCTCTCCCCATAGCCCCCAGTTGCTCAGGCAGAATCGTGGCAGCACTGGTGCCTGACTCCCCACCCCATCGTGCTCCAAAGTTCTGCAGCCCCCCACTTCAGAACTAAGCTGCTTGGAAAAGTTGGCCCATAATCTCTACACAGGTGTGATAACTACAGACGTCAAAATTTTCAGAAGAGAAAATACCTGGCATATTATTCAAAGAAAAAGAGCTTTCTGACATCCAGTGGGGTCTTTTTAAGAGGTATGGGTAGTTCTGGAAGGACCTGAAGAGCAGGCAAGGGAAGATGGGGACAAACATGTCCTATTACTGTGGGGAGCTCATCCCTTAAGAAAATTGAGCGGCTGGGAGGCAATTAAGGAGAACACAGAGACTCCAACCAGAGAAAAGCCTGTGAGGACAGGAAAGGGAAAGAACTGGGAAAGCTGGGGGAAGGGCAGAGTGAGTTTTGTCATGTTCTCAGCATGAATCAGCACCTGACCCTGTCAGGGTCGCTAAGGTCACTTTCCTAATTAAGACAGCAGTTGCCAGATGCTACCTGTACTGTAACGAGGATCCTATTTCAGCAACTGGTCAGGGTTCCTGGGAATTTATCTGGTGATCTAAGTACCTAGTGTCTAAGAGCAATTTCTGTCCTGGTCCTCTGGTCCTTTTTCATGTGCTTCATTCTTCCCTCCATGTCTAGTCTTGCACTCCCAGCACCTGAACTACACTTAAGGGTAAGAAAATTAGACAGAACCCCTCCAACCTGCTCTGGAGTCCAGAGCGCAGGCTCAGCAGCTGCGGCGCACCGGCCCAGCCGCTCTGCGGCATGTGGGATCCTCCCGGACCAGGGCTCAAACCCGCATCCCCTGCACCGGCAGGCGGGGATGTTTCCCCAGGGAAAGCCCCTCTACTCTGGAAGCTTCTTACCTTTTTTCCTCCTCAAGCTCTGTAGCACGTTGCAATCATTTGGGGGCCTCTAAACACTACGGATGCCCAGGTCCCTCCTTCCCAGGAGACTGTAAAAGTTGGGTTTGTGGCCTGGGCAGTGGGGTTTTGAACAGCTCCTTGGGTTACTTTAATATGCAGCCAGGGTGAGAAGCACTGTCCTAGATCCTGAGCTGCAGGCATCATCCTTCATTTAAAAAGTAGTAAAAACACATCTTTAGCAACAGACATCAAGATATCGAAATAAGTTTGTTTAGTTTTTAATATGAAAATTCCAGCCTTGATTTTTAAATATGTCCCCGATTATTAACAGACTTACTTGCTAATAATGAGGGTTTCCTCTCCATATATCCAGACTCTCACGAATTCACCATACGTCTTGTTGTAGTAATTGCAGGCACTGCCATTCCCCATCCAGAGGAACCTGCAGTAGGAAATGAGGGGTCCAATTCCCAGAAAGTAGCCAGGACCTAGGAAAGTCATCAGATCACAGTCAGTATTTCTGCAACACCAAAAAGAGCAATTGCTTTAAATTGACTGCTATTCTTGTTCTTTTGATCTGGATGTCCTTTTATATCTTCTGATGTATATAGGTGAATCACACACACAAAATGATTAAAACAACAACACAAGTTAACATGATGCTCTTCACAGCTCCATGAGTAAAAAGTAGTCCAGAGTCTACACCACTCTAGTTCCATTTGGTCTCAAGCATTTCAGTCTGAACGGACTGAAATAGGTGTCTATTCTTGCTGTGTTAAATGGTGTCAATGAGTTTCAAATACAAGTCAATCAGTCCCTCTCGTAACAGGCACGAAAACCAGGACAAGTGACAAGCTGACAGGTCTATCTGGCTGCCTAGTTTTGTCTGAAAACTTTGGGTTTGAAAGCACCAGTCAATGGAATGGGTGGGTTTGGATTAGTCTGTGGTTTGGGTGTCATCTTTTTAACTGTGAGAAACACGGTCTGCAAAGACAATAACCCAACAAAAAGCATGCATTTCTTTTTTATTTCCTTCAAAAAGGATTTGGTTTAAGAAGAGAATCTTAAGCTAAATCTCATTAGACGAAATAAAGCTAAGCATTGAGGAATGAGGCAGTGTGTCTGATCTGTGTCTAGACCAGAGTCTGAGTCCAGTGATGTGGTTTTAGTGAAGAGCCGTGGCCCTTACACCCTTGCTGACGTAGGCAATGACAGAATTGTGAGGAGTGTGAATCTGGTGAGCAGCCAGGGGAGTTGCTGTTGCTTGTATCAGAGAACAAACTTGGTAGCTTGATTTTAGTGGTGGTGGTGAAAAGTTCGTCAAAAGCTTGTTGGAATGGTTTTATGAGTTTTATTGTAAAGTTATACCATTTCTGTATCTTACTCCTTTAATTCCATTCTGTCAGTGAAATAGTCGTTCAGCCAAAACACACAACTATCTGAGACAGTACAGTGCTGATAATTTATATAATCTAAGTTTTTGGGTGAATCATTTAAATTGGATGTTTAAACCCAAATCTGGCAAACAAGGTTTATTCCTTAACTTTGAAGTAGCTGGGTTAATGTGGAAAAGATTATCAGGGTATTCTTTTTGCCCTTAGTGGAAAGTCTTTGTTAATGTCTATATAACCAAAACAAGTTTGGGAGTCTTGGGGTCAAGGGGTCTTAATCTTAGGATTGTTCTAATAACATTATATGTACATGATTGACTTACAGAATTTTTTATGGGACTGGGGACACATGCCTGCCGTGAGGAATTTTCCAAGAAACTACAAAGCCGTCTGATATTTCTGGGAGTTCTGAGTTAATCTGATAGTGTAGAGTGGTGTTGTTTCTACTGGGATTATCTGGATAATTATATTATACTCTACTTTTGATTGATCCACAGAGCTTGTGGAAGATTTTTTTTAGATTTTCAAGGGAACTATAGTGATCCCCATTTTTCATCCACTGTCCAGGTCCCATCTACCCCTTGTGGTGGCACCAACATCACCACCATGCCCAAAAATAAAAAAAAATAAAGGATGGGATAAAGAGAAGGAATAGGTTCAAGAAAGGGAGAGGGCAGAGGACATGGATGAGGCAAAGTGGGAGGGAGACAGAAAGGAGTACAGAAAGCATTCCAGAGACATTTTCGCCTTTAGACCAAAATTGGAATGAATTTAAATTAAAAAAATCCAAAACCTGGAATATTACCTTGTTCCACCCCATCTTAAATTTACTTTAAAGGATACTTTTGCCAAGTCTATTTTACCGAAACAAAATGCAGACTGGAAGGGATTATCTAAGATTTTTTTAATGCTTTCATTTAACATATGCAGATAATTGGTAGAAAAATGTTCACCTGAATTCATTTGCTAATATGCCTTGGGCTTCAGCCATCTCCTCAGTTTACTCTTCGCTGTTCTGCAAATTTCCTTTACCCTCATGGACAAAAAGCCCAAGGAAACACTCTCCTTAGATACAGAACTAAATGACTGTGTTACCTGGTATTGAGGATGTGTTTTTATAATTCCAAACCAAGAGAAGAAAGCCAGTGAGCAGCAGGATTGCAATGCTGGCAACAGGCGCAACTTCGGTCACCATGCTGGTGATGTTATAATGCACTGAGTTCAGCACTTCCAAAACCATCTTGTGTTGCTTGATCTCAGGGGAAGCAATTTAAAGTCCTGTGGAAATCAGAGTGGCAGAAAAATTAGAGAATGCCCAAAGGTACATCTAGGACTCCTGTTGCTTCAGAGGATGCTGTACTGTAGAGATGGGTGCTTTGTTTTATAATATGATTGGACATTTAGACAAGACAGATTTGTAGTTACAAGTCAAAACAAGCAAGCCCAAGAGAGATCTTTTGGCTTGAAGTGCAGCATTTCTGACCTTGGTAGAGTCTCAGTTTTGTTTAGACACTTGGTCTGATAGAACCTTATCATCTTGCCCTTGAACAGGTAGAGTGACTGAATTCTCAACTGAGAGCCAAATTTCTTACCAAAATACATGAAAATGAAGCTCATTCCAGAGTTGGAGTCATTCTTTGACTTCATCAGCACCTGGTTTAGGCAATCTTTTCGTCTGGAGGCCAAATCAATTTTTTTTTTTTTTTTTAAAAAGCAATCCCTCACCCCCTTCCTGTTCAAAATTACTTCTCCCAAAGAGTAAGGTTTTACAGTAAGAAGGAAAATTTCTAACTTCTCACTGTCTTCATCCATTCTTCTTCTGACTTTTTGACCATCTTTATGACCATAACCTTAAACTCTTTATCATGTAGGTTGCTTATCTCCACTTCACTTAGTTCTTCTTTTGGGGTTTTATCTTATTCCTTCATTTGGAACATATTTCTCTGGTGCCTCATTTTGCCTAATTCACCATTTTTATTCCTATATGTTTGGTAGGTTGGTTTTGTTTTCAATCTTGGAAAAGTGGCCTTATGCGCAAATGTCCTATGGGGCCCATCAGTGCACTCCCCTCTGGTCACCCAAGCAATAAGCTTTAGTGGTGCCCTCGGTGTGAACTGCGTGGGTCTGTCTGTTGTGGCAGGCTGACTACTATAGGCGTGGTGGTTGGTGTAGCTGCACCTGTGTCAGGTGGGTTGCCAGGCCCTGCCTTGGGCATAGGCTGCCCCCTGTAGGTGGGCAGGGCTGTGTCATGAAATGATTGGCTACAGAGCCCTGGGAAAGGGGGTCCTTGGGCTAATGCTGGTCTAGTGGTGGGCAAAGCTTCATCTCGGGGTGGCCAGCAGTAGGTTCAGGGCTTCCAGAGTTGGATCAGCCTGTTGATGGGGGGGGCCATGGCTTAGGGGTATCTGGGCCTGGTGTACGCCCACTGGTGGGCAGGGCCAATTCCTGACTTGTGTGGCCGTGGGCTCCGGGCTGACCCAGAGCTAGTGATAGCCCACTGGTGAGTGCACCAGACCCCGACACAACTGGCTGTAGTGCCATGGTTTTCCCAGGGCTATTGTCCACCCAGTGATGGGTGAGGACAGTCCCAGACCTAGGGGTGACTCACTGGTGGGTGGATCTGTGTCTGGCTTCAAGGTCCTGAGTTTCTGTTGTAGATGTTAGCTGGCTGGTGGGCAGTGGCAGGGCTGAGGAGGGGCCTCAGGGCTAGTGCTGACCCTCTGGTGGGCAGAGCTGGGTCCCAGGGTCTCTGGCTGCAGTGCCCTGGGTTTCAGGAGTGGGCGTCAACCTGAGGGTGGTTGGGACCAGTGCTGGGGCCTACCTATGGTTGGTGAGACTGGATTTAGGGCTAATGTAGGCCTTCTGGTGTGTGGGCCTGGGTCTGATGGCTAGTGTCAGGGTCCTGGAGGTCCTGGGGCTTTACTGGCCTATTGGTGGGTAGGGCCAGTCCTGGAGCTACTGGGTACGCAGGGTGTCCTTCAGCAGCAGGCCTGTTGGTGAGTGGGGCAGTATCCCTGCCCAGCTAATTGCCTGGACTGGGGCTTCCCGGGACTGAGGCAGACTCGCAAGTGGACAAGGGCAAGTCACTGCACTGCACTAATAATCTAGACAGAGAATTCCACAATGGTGATTACCAGCACCAGTGTTCTCTTAGTGGGATGTGCTCTCATTAGTGACTGCTGCCAGTATCTAAGTTCTTAGGCTGAGTTTCAGTTGCCTCTTGCCTCTCTGGGAGGCTCTCTAAGATCAACAAGTGGGTTTGACCCAGGCTTCTTTCAGATTACTTCTTCTGCCCTTGGACTTAGAGCATGTGAAATTTTATATGCACCTTTTAGGGCTGGATTTTCTATTCTCCACAGACCTCTGGCTCTCCCAGAAGTAGCCCTACTGGCCTTAAAGCCAAATGTTCTGCAGGATAGAGAGCCCAGAAATAAAGTGCATTGACAGTGCACTTGTGGCCAATTAATCTACAACAAAGGAAGCAAGAAAATACAATTGAGAAAAGACAGTCTCTTCCAAAAGTGGTGCTGGGAAAACTGGACAGCACAGTAAAACTGGACAGCTACATGTGAAAGAATGAAATTAGAACATTCTCTAACACCATATACAAAAATAAACTAAAAATGGATTAAAGACCTAAATGTAAGATTGGATACTGTAAAACTCCTATAGGGAAACATAGGCAGAACACTCTGACATAAATCGCAGCAATATCATTTTGGATCTGTCTCCTAGAGTAATGAAAATACAAACAAAAATAAACAAATGGAACCTAACTTAACTTAAAAGCTTTTGCACAGGAAAGGAAATGATAAACAAAGCAAAAAGCCCACTTAAGGAATGGGAAAAAATATTTGCAAACGATGTGACCCACAAGGGATTAATTTCCATAATATACAAACAGCTCATGCAGCTCAATGTAAAAAAAAATCAAACAACCCAATCAAAAAAATGGGCAGAAGATCTAAATAGACATTGCTCCAGAGAAGACGTACAGATGGCCAACAGGCACATGAAAAGATGCTCAATATCACTAATTATTAGAGAAATGCAAATCAAAACTATAGTAAGGTATCACTTCACATGGGTCAGAATAGCCATCATGAAAAAGTCTACAAATAATAAATGCTGAAGAGGTTGTGGGGAAAAAGGAACCCTCCTACACCACTGTTGGGAGTGTAAATTGGTGCAGCCACTATGGAAAACAGTATGGAGGTTCCTTAAAAAACTAAAAATAGAGCTAACATATGATCCAGCAATCCCACTTCTGGGCATATGTCCAGAGAAAACTGTAATTCGGAAAGATACATGTACCCCAATGTTCATAGCAGCACTATTTATTACAATAACCAAGACATGGAAGCATCCTAAGTGTCCGTTGACAGATGAATGGATAAAGAAGATGTGGTATATGGAATATACTACATGGAATATACCAATGGAATCTTACTCAGCTGTAAAAAAAAAAAAAAAATGTCATTTGCAGCAACATGGATGGACCTAGAAATTAACATACTAAGTGAAGTTAGTATCAAAGACAAATATCATATGATATTGCTTTCATATGTGGACTCTAAGAAAAAGATACAAATGAACTTATTTACAAAACAGGAACAGACTGACAGACATAGAAAACAAGCTTATGGTTACCAAAGCGGCTAGGTTGGGGGAGGGATCAATCCCAAAGGGGAGTTTGGGATTAAAATATATACACTACTATATATAAAATAGATAGCCAACAAGGACCTACTGTATAGCCCAGGGAACTATACTCAATATCATGTAATAACCGCTAATGGAAAAGAATCTAAGAAAGTATATACATATAAATCAACTATATTTCAATAAAAACTAAAGAAAAAAATAAATAAGTTTGATTTTAGCCATTACAAAAACACAGAAGTTCTGGGGGGTGCTCATCTTCTTGGTGTAGAACATCCAGCTGGGGAGCCTAATGTGGGGTTCATACACCTGACTCATTGGGGAAGACATCTGCAGTCATAATTATCCTCTCATTAGTGAGTTGCCCACCCGGGGTGTAGGGATCTTAACCATGTCTCCCGTCCCTCCTACCTGTCTCGTTGTGGTTCCTTCTTTATATCTTTAGTTGTAGAAGATCCTTTCTGCTAGTCTTCAGACCTTTCTCATCAGTAGTTGCTCTGTAAATAGTTGTAATTTTGGTGTGACCCTGGGAGGAAAGGAGTTCAGGATCTTCTTGGCCACACCCTCCTTCCTATGAGATTGAAGGAATGTGTGAGGATTCTGTAGGCATTCCTTTTGTTAATTTCAATGTGGCCTCTGTGGCTGGCAGCCCTAAGCAGCCTGAGGGCCACTGGGAAGAAGGTAAGAATGTGCAGGATGGGGGAGAATTTGGGGGCTGGTTGGGCCAGGCTTGGTCTTGGAAGCAGAGATGATTGGGCCCCAGGAAGAAAGGGATGCAGGCCAGCCACAGGCAGGAGGGAAGAAGGAGCAGGGGCCCAGGGTTGGCTAGGGAAGAGGAGGGGAGGAAGGTCCCTCAGGGGAGCTGATTTGGGGAGCAGACTGAGGCCAAAATTATTCCAATGCCTAAGAATGAACAGAAGGTCTAGGAGAGTCCTACTGCTGTCATATGTTTCTGAAGTATGTTGTACTTAAATCCTCAAGTGCTTTTGTTCTTTTTAAAATTTTTAAATTATGAAATATGCATGCACACACACACACAGAGTATTTTGCCAACCATGGACACCCCTCCTATTTGCCACATTGGCTTTAGAACCCCTGCCCGTCGCTTTAGAGAACTAGAACTGTACAACTAAGTCCAAGCCCTCACCCCCTCTTTTCTCTGCAGAAGTGCCTATGCTCCAGAACTCAGTCCTCCATCCTCGTGTGCATGGTTTTTTGTTTTGTTTTGTTTTGTTTTTCTGTGGTACGCGGGCCTCTCACTGCTGTGGCCTCTCCCGTTGCGGAGCACAGGCTCTGGACGCGCAGGTTCAGCGGCCATGGCTCACGGGCCCAGCCGCTCCGTGGCACGTGGGATCTTCCCAGACTGGGGCACGAACCCGTGTTCCCTCCGTCGGCAGGCGGACTCTCAACCACTGTGCCACCAGGGAAGCCCGTGTGCATGGTTTTAAATGTGCCCCCATCCCCTGCAGGAACTCTGATGAGAGTGTCTGTAATCAGAGTCCATGGCACTGCAGAGAGAGCCAAGGCTGGATACACAGGTTCAGAGACAGGTGTTTCTGGGTAGGAGGGGTTGCTCAG